AAACACATATAGAAATGAAGGGGGCAGAAGATACTGAGAGCAGAGTTAATGTACATTGGAGGAGAAACAGAGGTAGAATCCAATCATCTAGACCTGGAACATGAACTCCTCTAGGAACCCAGAGAGGCTGGGGGAAGGTGTGACAAGGCTCACTGCCTTTCCCATTCCAACCGTGTCTCTGCTTGTGCCTCCCAAGCTTCATGCAGTCATGAGTGGGCTTCTAGAGTATGTGATTGATTCATGGCCCAATGCTAAGATTAAGGGTATGAATGCTATACTAACCCTAGAGCAGGCAGCCTGCATACAATATAAGGAAGGGAAAGAGGCTTGTCTCACTTTCTCTTGTTGCTTTTACTGTCTTCTGCAGCCACGAACTGTCACCCTCTGCCATGTGCCACTCTGCCTTGGAGCCATCCAACTGTGGGCTGAAACCTCCACAAACTGTGAGCTAAATCAACCTTTCATCCCTTTAATTTTGGGGTGCTGAGTACTTTTTGCCACAATGACAAAAGTAACTAAAACAATGTCAAATATCACATTATTTGTGATACATTTTTGAGAGGAAAATATTCAGTCTACAATATGACAAATACAATAAGGGAAAAAACAAAATAAAATGAAATAGTACATTTTCCTGCCAGCAGTATGTTTAAAAGAGTCAAATTAAGACATGAAATGATCATATCAGCCTTAATTCTTTTCAGTTATTAATTTAACACCTTTTTGGAAACATGCAGATAAAAGTCCTACCTTGGAGAATTTGAGATAAGAATGAATAAAAGGGAAGAGAAATCAGCCAGTTCACACTCATGGCCACCGTGATTTCAGTCAAAGACACCTACAGACGCATAATGTTAAATTGGGGCCTTTAATGCATTCTGATATGAGGGCCTGTTTTTAGGTCTATGCTTCTCTGTACATAGTTAGAAGCATAAAATTAGATGAACAACAAAAGGCTGGTGTGAAATAAGATAAATGAGAGTCCCATGAGTTATTAAAAAAATAAAGCTGCTCCTATGATGAAAAATACATAGATATACATATGTACTACAGATTTCCTAGGTACAATAGGTCTCATAATGCATTCATTTATAAGCATATTAATATGATGAAAGAAATGATGAAATTTGGTTCTTTGCCTGAAGAAAGGCTTGTTATAAATAGCAAAGCTGGTGAGATGTCAAGTGATCCTAAAAATAGGTAAGCCTCCACTGTAAAACCCATTACCTACATGGAATAATGACAGAAACACTGCTTCATTCCGTGGAATGCATCCACCAAGGCAGAGCCTAAGTAATCCTCATCATCTGAGCATAAACCCTTCAAAACTTCATGGAATGTTGCTATCCTACTCGTGCAGTACCTGTGTTCAGTGAGCCACACATGCCACAGCCTCTGAAGTAACCAGAAAGAGAGATAGGCAGGCTTTCATAGGACCTGCTCTCTACTAGAAATTGGAGTATCAACTTAAATCTTTAGAATCCTGAGGAATCTCCTACTGAAATCAACAGTTGCCAACACAGATTGACCTAGAAGTACATTATAACTTGCTCCACTTGGGCTTCTCAGAATACTTATTTTTAAAGTCTAATGATTTAAAACAAATCACTTTATCCCTTGAAAAATGAATCCAAGACGATTGCAATCAGACACATTGACTCGGAGAAGCTGATTGCCAGCTATGAAAAAAAGAAAAGAAAGAACAGTCCTTTAATGTCAATGTATGCAATAAAAATCAGTTTTTAGGACTATGATGGAACAAAAGGTCCACTATATGCTACCTCCACACTCACCACCTTTCTGTCTTTCCTTTTTCTTTGTACTTTTTTTTCCAGTTTTTGATAGTCTGGTTTTTTGGGTTGTTTTTTTTTTTCTTTGGCGGAACCGGGGATTGAACTCAGGTCCTTGCACTTGCCAGGGAAGCGCTTTATCCACTGAGCCATCTCCCCAGCCCCTTTTTTCCAGTTTTTAAAAGGAAAATTTATTTAACAAGTTTCACTAAGTACAATAAATCTAATGGAAATCACAATACAAGGAAAGATTTAAATCAAAGCCTCAGAATTCCATACAACTGACATAACCAAACTCCTAAAGTATCACATCTCAGAATTGTCCCAGATCTTAAAAAAAAAAAAGTAAAGTGTACACTCATGTGCCTTACAGAATATTAAACCAAAAAGCTGGAATTAACAAACATGCCAAACGTTTTCACTTTGAATCATAGACACAGCTCCTATATTTGAGTTTTATAGAACAGCATGTTTCTCAACATGCATCTGAAGTTTTTCAATGTACTGCGATATAAGAGCAACATATAACGTAGGTGAAACTGCTTTAGCCTAAATATGCTTACTGCTTAGGTACACTCCTACAACATAACTAACTTGAAAGCTGAAAATTGTTGTACGCTATGGTCAATACTGAAATTTGTTATTACATCCTAGATATTTCAGTGTTCAATATTACTTAAGTTTTAAAACAATCTTGATTTCCAGTTTACAGTAAGCATAATCACAAGCCTGTAACGCAAAACTGATAAACTTAATTTTTATTTTGTTTAAAAAAAGGAAAAGAAAAAAATGAGAAAAAAAGGAAAGAAAAAAAGGAGAGAAAGAAAGGGAGGGCAGGCAAGCTAGCTGACCCAGAGCAATCAGAATCTACTATATTTTCCATTTACCAATCATACTAGATATACTAGGCATCCCTCCCATTCTGTCCAACTCCCACAATGCACAGCTTTTATTTCTATAGTAGCTGTTTAGTGCTCCTTCTGTATCTTAAGCAAGGTTTGACTGATAGTCACTGGAGTTTTCCTGCAGAACTTGGTCATACCCACTCATACTGCTCTGACCACCATAACCACCTCCATAACCACTACTCAGCTGCTGGCTGGCAGGACCCCCATAACTAGACTGGTTAGATAAGCCCATCCCTCCCATCATTTGGCTGCCATAAGCACCACCACTTGCCCCTGCTGTAGAATTCAAAAAGAGTTCTACATAGCTGTGATCATAAGCCCTTCCACTTGTTCCTGCAGTAGAATTCAAGAAGAGCTCCACATATCTGTGTTGCATATTGGCTTTATCTTTTGCCATAGCTGCCACTGCATCTTCATGAGTAGCAAATTCAACATCTGCCTCACCAGTAACCCTGCCATCAGGTCCGGTTTCAATGTGTACTCTCATGGGGTTAAGAGGAGAGAAAAAATTATAAATATCATTCTCAGTGGCTCTGTAAGGTAACCCCCTCATGTGTACACAGTGCCCTGTGGTGCTCTGGAAACTAGACCCACCATCTCCGTATCTATGATCAGACATTCCTGAGAAACAGTAATTGAGATCTCTTCCAAACCTATCAGACCCGAAACCATACCCATCATTATAGCCACCATAGTTATCATAGCCTCCATACCCTCCACCATAAACACCCCACCTCATCCTTTCAAACCCAGTTCCTCATCCAGCCCCAGGCCTATCATAAGGACCTGGACGCTGCATAGCCATGAGCTTTCGAGGGGGATCATAGTGGGTTCGGACTTCAGCTCTGCTGCTCTTGAATATTTCAATGTACCTGTGCCCTATTCTTTCCTTGTGTTTCTTTAAGGCCTTTTCAGCTATCTTCTGTGCAGCAAAATGCACAAAGGCCTCCCCCGTGCTCCACCCCTGAAAGTCCACTGGCAGTGTCATCCCATTTGGCACAATTTCCAACCCAGAAAAGAATCGAATAATCTCTTCCTTGCTACAGCCAAATGGGAATCCTCTAAGCCAGAGGAAACCATCATTGGCAGTATCAGGACTATTTGGACCTCTATGCTTCAACACCCAATCTATTTCAACACTGTTGGACTTGAATACTTAACATATCTGTGACCCATGGTTCCTCTGTCCTTCTTCAAGGCCAATTTCACTTCATCTTCTGATTCAAGTTCAACAAATGCTTCACCACGTGGTCTGCCTTCTCTGATGTAGATGAAACAAATACCTGAAGTGCCGTTCTGGATTTTGCAATCAGAGAAGAAGCACATCACTTCATCAGCTGAGCAGGACCAGCATAGGCCCCTGACCTTCACCATGAACCCCTCCCTGCCTTCTGTGCTCAGCATCATGGTGACTGTTGGGCTCTTGATGGCATGCTTGGCTCAATGGAATTTTGATGCGACTCTAAAGATACTGGGGAATTTTCCTTTCTTCCCTCAAACAGCTATAGCAAGGCAGTAGGCGACAACCAGAACTACTTCTGCTCACATAAGCCTTTCTTTGTATTTTGTATATGGCTCGATGCCTGGAAATCCACAGTCCTTGAGAGTAAACTGTCATGAAATGCAGTGGCACACACCATCCCAAATCCTAGGACTTGGGATGCTGAGACAGGAGGAAGGAGAGTTTGGGACCAGTCAGGACTACATAGCCAGTTTCAGCCGGCTTGAATGACATAATGCCACCCCATCTGAAAAAGAAGAAAGAGAAAGGAAGGCAGGAAGGTGGAAAAGTCGGAGGGAAAAAAGAAAGGAAGGAAGGAAAAAATTAAAAAAGAAGAAAAGAAAGAGGAAAAAAGGCAAACTATTTATGGCTATATCCACACAATTCACAATAGCTAAGTTCTGGAAATAATCTAAGTATCCATCAACAGACAAATAAATAAAGAAAATGTATATATGCACAGTGGAATATTATTCACCCATAAAGAATGAAATCATGTCTTTTGCAGGAAAATAAATGAAACGTGAAACCATGATGCTAAGTGAAATGTCAGACACAACAAGTTAATTATTAAACTGTGTTTCTTAGATAATAAACCTAAAATATAAAATAAAGGAGCAAAATCAAGGAAAGATGGAAGGAACTAAGAAGGCAGACTTTTTGGAGATGCAGAAGAGGATCAGGAGTAGGGAGAGATAAGGGGGAGCAGAATAAAAGGACCAAATGATCTAGACATGCCACATTTTTGTACCAATTCCCCAAGGTAAATATCACTATTGTGTATTACATACATACACAAATAAAAAACAAAAAAAAATTCCTAATGTCATTTCTGTGGGCAAACTAAGTGGCTCAATTTTGAGTGTGCTTTAGAAGACATGAAGATGATTTAAGTAAAGTTTTGCTTACACTTTCAAAACTACAAAACTGAAAGTTACAGCCAGGGAACATTTCCCTTAACACTAAGTACCAAGTGTTACATATTAATACTACACATTCATATCAGTTAACACCCACAGAAATTCCCAAAGCAAGAGCTGGAAGAAGTTTCTGATGCCTCAGTCCTCTCCTCGTCCTTTGCAATACTGTTAGCGTGGTCAAGGGCACAGTTGATCCAACGTGTTGAAGAGAATGAGACTGCACTAGCCCTTTACAGAAAGGGCTAGTGCAATCTCAGCAGTCGGGAGGCTGCAGCAGGAGGATTGCTTCAAGTTGCCTGAGAGCAAGATCTGGTCTTACACACACACACACACACACACACACACACACACACACACACACCACAAAACCCAGTTGTACAAGGAAAAATAATAAAAAAGTGAAGGTGCTCAATTTGTAGGTTAACAACTTTTTAAACTCTCACCTTTTGTAACTGCTGAAGTTTTTGAAGGTGTGAAGCCATTAATTCAAGCCAGTGCTAAAAATTCACTTTAGAGGGTGTAACTGATCGGGGATAAAGCCACAGAAACCCCCCCAAATCTTAGTCATGACCCTTTTCCCCCTACTCCTGGTGGAAAACAGATTCAATGTGGACTCTTGATTCATCTATTTTTAATTGTATTTTTCAGAAATAAAAATGTGTAAAGTTTAAAAAATAAGCAAAATCATGCTCTGGAATTTCAAAAAAAAGTAAGCAAAAATCTCTGTAGTTCTGTAACAAAAGCTGAACTTTTCAGGGGTGTATCAGAGGTAAAACCCAGAGCCTTCTACACTGAGTCATATCCCTATCCCTCTATCTTTTTAAAAACTTTAAATCAAAGTCACCATTGTTAAATTGTCCAGGCAGCTCAGATTTGTGCTCCTCCTGCTTCAGCCTCCCAGAGTACTAAGATTATAAGCGTATGCCACCATGTCCAGCTCTGAGCAGAAATTTTAACAGAACTAAAACTTATAGGCTCCCCCTCACCTGCTCTGGCCGCAGCCTAAGTACCTTAGGTTTTGACTGCTCCCCGGCGTCCAGCGGCTTCACAGAGACCACTGTTCCACCTACCCGTTAGTGAGAGAAGGCAGTGCTTTCCTGTGCCTGCATATTTTTATACCTCTTCAATCAAAAGTTTGAAATAAGATTGTAGTGACATGCAAACTGTTTCTACCTTCAATTCACAACTTCAGGCTGATTTCACTCTACTGGATGGAAGGAAAAGAAATCTAAGTTTACAGCTGTTTGTGTGATTGGAGTTTTTGCTACAAATGAACATATATTGCCATCTACTGTTGAGAAAAAATAAATGGTCAGGCCAAAACTGCTCAGCCTTATTGAGGTTTTGACAGACAGTAAATTTTAAGTGGGGGAAAAGTAACCTAATGGTAGTTTCTCCTCTCTTACACACTGCTTAGTATTTATAAAGTAATCTGAGAATTAAATAGAGCAGAAAATGTAATAGACTAGAAAATTTTCTTCCTTGAAATCAGAAAAATTGCTGTGTGTAATTATTCTTGCTTTGATTAAAGGTTGAAAACAAATCATGTTTCATTGCTTTCCGTTTGGCCTACCATTTTAACTACTACAACAAAGGAGAAGAAATGTAAGTAGTGTATCTCTGTTTAAATTATCTTAACTTCATTTCAATCACTTGAAGCACATAAAGGCAATTTTAACTTTAGGTTCATTTATATATTTGTTTTCTTTTGAAGAAACAGGATAGTTGCCTAAACTTAGCCTTCTTGACTGCATATTTCAGCTAAAATGTAGGGAAAGCCACAGTAGAGCAAAAAGGCAACCATCCAAGTAGTGTGTCCAGGTCAGAGAATCCAGCCACACTCAAGCACCCCCGGGGACGGGCAGACAGAATTCTCAGTCTCCAGATCAGCCAGTGGCGAAGACTGACCCGACTCTGCTCTGGTGGCTGGTGTGAACTGGAGAAAATGATTTGCTGCCCAAATGTGGGCATGAGGGGTGTCCCACATTAAAGACAACAACAACAACAACTATTTTCCCCCTTAAGGAATACTTATTGAACCCTGTCGGCCGAGTGGCACACCCCAGCTAGGTCAGCCATTGCCCAGGAAGGTGAAGCAGATTCAAGTGTGATCTGTGGATGCTGCAGGGGAATCCCTGACGTGAACGCCTGCGAGAAAGAGACCTTCATCATTCAGTGTGTTAGGCCACGGGTGAAAGCCCTTGCACACTAGGAACTGTGTGTGGATGGTGTGTGTGTGTGTGTGCGCACGTGTGTACAGGGAATCTGAAGTTTAAAAAAACAATATTTTGCTAATATGTACTAATAAAAATAATTATTAGTTAATTAACTCTGGTTCCAATCATTACCTTTCTTTTTCAGTGCTGGGATGATTCCCAGGGATCAAACCCACGGATGAGTTAGCACTGAGCTCTTCCCCAGACATTTTTGAGTCAGGGTCTCACTAATTTTCTCAGGCTGGCCTTGAACTTTTGATCCTCCTACCTCAGCTTCCAAAGTAGCTGTGAATACAGGTGTGCACCATCAGCCTTGTTTCATTATGACTCATTTTACTGGCACCTTTAACATATTCCTTCAGATGTTCATAACTAACACTGGTATAACATTTACTGTTTATAAAACATCCTCAATAATGTAAAACTTACCGGGCCATTTAACAAATGGCTAATAAAGATCAGTGCTGTGTCCAGCTCTCACAAACATCAGAAACACACAGTTAAAAGGAAACCGTCTCATCCTTCATGTTGCATCACAGTTTAGGTTAGGTAAGAGAGAAGAAGACCGCTCAGCTGGATTTGAAAACAAGCTCAGGGAACTAAAGCGCCTGCTTAAGCGAGAGCAGGGACCAGGGTTCGGTCCCCGGTGTGCCGTGCCGCCCAGTCCCGGGCGCGATTGAGGCTAGGTGTGGTGGCAAATGCCTATAATCTCAGCGCTTGGGAGGCTGAAAACATGAGGATCACTATGAGTCTGATGTGTGGAGTGAGACTCTATAGACCTGTACTACATACATTTTTTAAAAATAGAAAAACAATGGTAGAAGAATCATAGAAGAATGCACATGACCCAAAAGACAAGGGACAGTTCCTGAGGAGCACCGGTCACTGTTGGATGTCCCATGCTCTGCTGGCAAACAAACGTGGTGAGAAAGTGTCATGCACAGGCATTCCAGGAAGTTATGTTTAGTGTCACAGAGGAAAACATCAAAGTCAAAGCTGTGGCAGGAAAGCTGATGAGCGTAAATGTAGCGCGCAATCCCGAGCCCTCGTCCCCGGCTTGGGTCCACATGCCCGTGGCTATGTTCTAGCGGAGAACGCCTCCGTGCCACACTGCTCTAGGGAACAGGAAACACCTATGCCCCTGGGGCAGGGCCACCCTTGCTCAAGAAGGTGGGTGATAGACGAGAAGGCCTCGGCACAGGGGCCGCGCCCGCCACTTCCGCTGCCATCGCTGTCTCAGAGCTAGGGCTCGCTGCAGCAGCTCCGTACCGACAGAGGCTGCCAGCCTAGCTGAAGACCAGACTTCACGCTTCTGAGCACTGTTCCTACTCCACGTATAGCAATTCTGCACCATCATGGCGCTAAGAGCGCAGGGACAGGAACCGAAGGCTCCCGTTTGCCACACCAAGATGTTGGTTAGAAAGTTAAGTGTTGGGAAGCCACCAACTGCTGTTGGGCATAGAAGTCGTAGCTTCTGGTTTATATCTTAAAGAGGTCACTAGATGGAAGATGGGTAAAGGAGGGGATGTTAGGGACTAACCCAAGAGAGACAGAGGGGAACAGAGCAGTTAGAAAGGAGAGCTGACACCCAGAGGTGGCGTGGAAGGGACTTGGAGGCTGCTCAGATCACAGGGGAGGAAAGAACAGAGACTAAAACTTCCTGGTGTCCACAAAGTGATGGGATGGATTGTGAACTGAAAAAAAAAAGAGAAATGCAGGAGACGAGACAATGAAGCTATCTAAAAAAAACCCACCTCTATTTGAATTTAG